CATTCTCATTGACTAACAAGAAAAAGTTATTATCTCAATGGCTGCAGAAATTATTAAACCCTAACAAAAAAGACGAACACTGAGAAGAAGTGAAGAAACAGATCATCTGATATTTTAATGGAACGAATTAATTTAATTAAATGAGAATGAATGACAGGCAGAACAGAAGAAAGGTTTAATTTAAAGACAGACAGACTCACTGGTTTCACTTTCACATTCCATATTCATTTAATTAAAAACCATTTCTGTATATCTCCCCTATCACGTCGTTGGGTGTAAACTGACTAAATAGACTTAATTATGGATGATAAAAATACATTTCACAGTTTTAATCAGTTTTAAGAGCCTACAAAATAACTGTATATTAAATAACTACCGATAATTAAAACACGCTGAAGGCTTATTCTAAAGCAACAAGATGGACGCCAATTTCTTCACCCACGATGGTTTCAGGATCGCATCTTGAAAATCCCACTGCAAATCACCCCCATAGAATATACTAATAAAATTTTACAAACTAAAGTTAAATTGGACAGAGAATCGAATAATTACAAGAATATTACGTTTAAATGCGTTGAACGCTATCAAATAATGTGGCTACTTACCGCTATATATTCAAACACGATCGGCAGTAGCAAAACACGATCAAATGCTTTCAGACCACGAGGAATGTGAAAGTCAACCAATTTGCTTTGACTTGGGCTATATATAGCTCGTCGGAATCCCCGAGGTTTCCCGAATGTGTATAACGAATCATCATCGTGAAAAAATTCACCGACAACTTACGGACATTGTTATGGGTAGCAACCCAGCCCGTTCCGTTTCCGGAAGTGCCCGATCGATCGAAGAAAACGTAGTACCTACTTTACAATTTGCAGAGAAAATTAAAATGTATTTCATTACAACTATTATTAATTGTCGCAGAATCCATGAGTTTTAATTTTTTTATTTTTATTAATAAATGTGGACGGTCCAACTGGTGGACCTTACCCTTAGTCGGCTGAATAATTAATTAACACTAACTGTCCTTAAACTTCCCTTTTTTCTCCTTTCCTTTTTGGTCGCGTCGACAGAGAAATTTGGTAATATAACGGATAGCGATACATAAAAATTCACAGAATGTTGTACACTGTACCTACCTTCGAAACGACAAGTGCTGTTCGATAGGAACTAGGAATTCCATAATTGATCCCTCGAAGAAACAATCGCGACAAAACAGACATACTGCTGGCTGAAATGTTGACGTTTGATTCTGAACTTCTGAACTCCGGAACCTTTAAGTTATAGTTTTTAGTTAGGTTCAGACTGAGAACAAATAATATTTAATGAGTATGAAAATTATTTTTGCTTGTTATTATTATTATTATTTTCATTTCATTATTGAATAACATGCAATCAGTGCTAAAAAATATTACAACTGCAATTTTGAATTAAATTAAAAATGTATGTAAATATTTGTTTTCGCAATAAAAATTGAATTTTTTTTAAAGCAGACAAATGTAGCAATTAAATTTAATTTAGACAATGTTTAGGTTTAGACGACGGATCAACATAATGGTACACGAACTCCGTATCACCGGCGAGAATCATGAAATACTTTGGGTAGATTTTTAACTCCAAATTTTACCCGTGCAGCGCCGTTAGGCTACTCTTTTCGATTTCCAACTGCCAAAGGATTTTTTAAATTCGCAGCAATACACACGGGCGTCCAGTCTTACTATCCAGTGACCAGAGAAAATTATTAGAAGTCCACGTGAAAGAATCAGTAGCTCTTGAACCCCTGACCTCCAGCACTCAGTCGGATGTCATGCCTCGAGACCACACAGCCCTATAGACAACAATATACTGTTCAGCCCATCTGGGTTATAATTAGGAAACATTTTTGTTTGTTTTATGGGGATCGGCGGGATAAGTAAATCAGTAAAGCCGCACGCTAAGAAAAAGAAGTGTAATATTAAAATTATAAAATGGCAAGAATTCGACATCACAGAAATGCGAAAAACGTAGGAAGAAATATTACAACATAAGTATGAAGCACTTCCAGACCTTACACTAAGGGTGAAGGAGGAAGGAATTGATTTTAGGGATACTTTTAAGAATGTAGCACAGAAAATATGTGGAACTAAAACGAAAGGGAAGTCAGGATGTAAAATATGAACATGGTGGAATGACGAAACAAAGGAAATGGTGGAGAACGAAAAATAAAACTTATCATTTCGGGTTAAAACACAGAACAGAAGAAAACTACACAAGGTATAGGCAAGCCAGAAAAGAAGCCGATAAAGCAATAAGAACAGCCAAGAAACAGTCATGGGAGACGTTTGTAGAAATTTTAGCAGCAAAATAAAAAGCAGCAATAAAAAACTAGTACAAAAAAGTAAGATGGTTAAGACGAAGCAATGAGGAATATAATCCTACAGAAATACTGAATTATGAAAGAGGACTACCTATTTTACGCCCTAAAATGATTCTAGAGAAAAGGCGTAACTATTTTAAAGATCTACTAAATTTTAAGAATAAGGACGACAGTGCAAGCAGCAATACTATAATATAGCAGAAGAGACGGATACACTAGAGCCAGAAATTATATAAATAGAAGTAGAAAATGTAATAAAGATAGCACCAAGGCACAAAGCGACTGGTAGTGACGATCTCCCCGTAGAAGCCATCAAAGCAACAGGAGATATAGGAGCAAAATGGGTCAGGCGAATTTTCCACACTGCCTGGCTAGAACAAGAAACATCAGATGACTAGCAAACAGCAATAACTTTTCCAACGTGGAAAAATAAAGGGAGTAAGAAGAAAGAGTGCACTAGTTACAGAGAAATATCACTATTAAGCCACATAGGTAAAATGTATGCCAAATTATCTGAAAAAAGATTTAAACCATTAGTAAAAGAACAACTTTCAGAAACCAAGATGGGTTTCATTATTTTGTTAACGTTTGCTTTTTTTAATCCTGTGCCACCAGTGACATCAATTGCTTTCTACTGGACCCATTCATGATATTAACTTTAATAAGAGAGACAGGCGGAACAGAAGCTTCACAGAGGTAACTAAGTAATGGTAAACACGTGACTGACTGACTGACTTTCTACCCCACCAGGACATCACACAAGCGATAAACACCCGATGACACAATGTGCCACCATGTGGGTGAGGATCACCGTGGAGAGGTCCCAGAAACAGCGTTCAGCCTTTAGGCCATATTTGTGACCGGGCTATATTGCGACCCCTGGCAAGAGCCAGGGTGGGGCTTCAAATAACGAAAAAATATATCCTGAAAAGAACAAGATTAGTTATACGCTTGACAGAAAGAGCAACAGAGTATGATAATACATGCAAAGTCGCATTTATAAATCAAGAAAAAGCATTTGACAGTGTAGATGGGAATATGTTATGGGATCGGTCAAGAAGTTATGAAATCAGCAAATATCTAACTGAAGTGTGTAAGAGCTTAGATGCATTAAGTAAAAGTTGCATAGGAACACATGCAGGTACATCGCAACCCTTTGAAGTAAATTCAGGAGTAAGACAGGGATGTGTGCTATCTTCCCTGTTTTTTTATAACATACATCGACAATATATGCAAAGAAGCAGAGAGCGAAGAAAAGTATGATATTTCAGAATTATAAAAATTATGTTCTTGACAGAGTTCATCAACGAACGTTACATCGTCCCCTGACACTTCACTCAGGTAAAAGGTGAAAGATAAGAAGAAGAATAATCATCATCATGTAGCAGGTACTTTGCAGAACGTCGCTCTCATCACAGTCTGCCTGAAAGAAAGTCGGTCTCTCGCAAGTTCTACCGCCTCATGAACTTTCACACTCAAGGAGTCACTTATATCCTGTGCCCATCTTCGTGTCGGTCGGCCCTTGCCCCTCCTTCCTGGTACCATGCCTTCTGCTATAATTTTTCCCAACCCGTCGTGGCGTTTATTAGCCAATCTTCCTTGATGTTCAGATCTTTTAAGATGTCAATATTTCTAATCTTCTTCGTCCAAGATATTCTGAGAATCTTTCTATAGCATTTCAGCTCAAAAGCTCCGATACTCTTTCTTAAGGACTGAGAGTTAGTCCACGACTCACATCCGTGTGTAGCCACAGGGAAGATGCATGCTCTCAAAATTCTAATTTATATTTCCTTGCTGGTGCTCAACCATAGACTTGTAAGGCTGTTCAATCTTTGCATTGCAACGGCCTAGAGCCTAGATATTCAAAGTTTGTGACATTTTCAATTTCTTCATCATTTATTATTGTTGGGTGACAGCCAGTTTTATCTGTGAACATTATTTTCGTTTTCTTTGAATTCAAGAACAGATTTTGATCTTCACTGTGCTTTTGGACAGACAATTTTAAATTTTCTATTCCCTTTACGCTGTTCGAAAGGAGGACTGTGTCATCTGCGTAGCGAAGTTCCGGAATATTATCTAATTCTTCTTCTCGTCCTTTTTAGGATGAAATGTTTCGTTATTTGAAGCCCTACTCTGGCTTTTGCCAGGGGCCGCAATATAGCCAGGCGATAAATATGGCCTAAAGTCTGAACGCAGTTTTTAGGACCTCTCCACGGTGATCCTCATCCACATGGTGGCACGTTGTGTCATCGGGTGTTTATCGCTTGAGTGATGTCCTGGTGGGGAAGAAAGTCAGCTAGTCAGTCATTAGGGTTGCCACCAATTTTGAGCGGATCATAACTGTCTCAAGTCTGGTCATTTTTGAAATTTCTCATTATATTTTCTGCGTTTATATTGAATAGGTATGATGAGAGAATGCACCCCTGCCTCACCCACTTTTGCACCTCGAACCAATCAGATGTTTCAGAAGAATAATAAAAATAAGAAATCATTGTCTCCCTTGTGTAACCCCGGAAGTGAATCCTGGAAATTGCGCGAAAACTGGTGACTCTTTAAAAACAATCGAGGAAAATTTATTTACCGACGTAAACATAAATAATATATTGATAAACAATCCGGTTGTTGAAATAGATTGCTCGCTATCATGGCTAATGTTTCTATCCAAGAACTCTCAGATGAACTGGATATTTTTGGAACAGATATTGACGAAGAAGAGCTGTTAAAACGTAAGTCTGTTGAGTACACAACGACGTGTTATTTAAAAGAAAAACAAATTTTTTTTAAAGATATAATAATATTTTAGATTGAAAATAGATACTATACTATACTCATGTCATACAGTGCAGCAATAAATTAATATTATCACAGATATGCAAATTAGAATTCAGAATTTTAGGAGGAAGAAAAACCATATTTAATATTTTTTTGATTCATATGATATTTTTATAATTAGGGATTTTAGTCAAAATGTAAAAATTAGGTTTTTTACTTTTAAACCAAGACAGCTGAATAGAGGTTGAAAACCCGAGTCCAACGGTACCTCAATGAAGTCTGTATGTCAATTCTAAGCGGAGATATTCACATTTCAGTGACGGAAAGTTGCCCCAAAAATTTATAATGGAAAACACAGAAACAAGATGGCGGCGTGTTCCCAAGTGAAAACTGGACCTAAATTTATCATGTTTAATGTCAATAACTCTCAAGTTTTTGACTGAATCCCTTAGCAACCATTTGTCATTGCTTTCAGGACAGCAGGCTCTGACTAAAGTTGTTGCCTTTAAAAAAAAATGATGTGATGCAAACCTAAATAACATAAAAATGAGTTTGTTTATCAGGATTGATAACCTTATTTATGAATTAAATTAATGATTATTATCCAGTGAGTCTTCCAAGACATATACTGTAATATGCATACTTTTGTAACTATTCTTCTTGTTATGATGCATCTCTTCCTATTTGTTTAAAAATGCTTTTTCTTTCACTCTCAATTGTGTGTGTGTGTGTATACATCTGACCGAAATTTGCTCTACTGAACTCTACTCCACTGTTAAAAAATGTTCAATAGCGAGTGGATTGACTTCACTGCATCGTTACTGGTTTCATATGGCTTGGTCTTTCTCCACATAACCATAAATGACTAGCGCATGCCGTGACCTTAGCAGTAAGCCTGAATACCGTAGCTCCAGCAACAGCCTCCAGGGGTCCCTGTTAACCCAAACAAAATGTATTTTTGAGACGAACAAAGCAGTTGTAAAATAAACTCACCGCAACCTTCCGAGCACGAGGTTAATGGCTTGACCACTTTTCTACAGAGACCCCCAATATTGTTTGATAACCAAGTGAAAATATGCACCCTTTTTACTGATTTAACATAATCCCTTCTTCAGTCTTTGCGAGTTATTCTTTAATTTTATTGATGATGAGCGCATTTTACCACAGTGTTTCCCTCTTCTTCTTAACTAACACTGCTGGATATTTTATTTACTAGTTCAAAATAATCTAAGGTAACTGCTCATACCTGATTTGTGATTCAGTGCTATGTTTTCATGGAGTAAAATTATTTAATAAGCTCCTTTGTGATTCGCTTTGGATTTATGTTGTGTTTTCATGGAGCAGCATTTCATAAGGTAAGAGGAAAAAGAACATTATATATATTTTATTAACGTATCTATGTCCCATGTGATCTGTTTGCTAGCTAGTATATATTAGTATATTTAGAAAATAATTATTAAATATTAATAATCATAAGTTGTAACTAGTTTTGGCTGTAAGTAAGTAAACGTATGCACAGTTAAACAAATTATAATTTATTATTAATTTTATTAATCGTCAACTTTCTAAATAAGCATCTATAAGTCAATACTAATACTATAATTTTAAAACTAATAATATTCATGCCAAATGATAGATTATGGCTTAAAAAATGCTATAATGGCTAAAGATTCGAAAAATGATTAAATAACTACTTTATGTTCATTTAAAAGTATAATAAAAAATGTTTAAACCACTGTCTGCATCCACAATGTCAGTCTGGGTGCGGAGAGTGGGGGGTCAACAGGTAAAAAGGCTTTAAACAGGAACTATTATTCATGCCAAATGATAGGTTATGGCTTAAAAAATGCTATAATGGCTAAAGATTCCCAAAATGATTTAAAAACTACAATAATGTGATTTTAAAGTATATTTAAAAATGTTTAAACCACTGTCTGCATCCACAATGTCAGTCTGGGTGCGGAGAGTGGGGGGTCAACAGGTAAAAAGGCTTCAAACAGGTACTATTATTCATGCCAAATGATAGGTTATGGCTTAAAAAATGCTATAATGGCTAAAGATTCCCAAAATGATTTAAAAACTACAATAATGTGATTTTAAAGTATATTTTAAAATGTTCAAACCAATGTCTGTGTCCGTTTTCAACGCAAAATACCCTAGAAAATAGTCTATGTTAAAAACGTGCTAAAACATTATTTTCAAGTATTTAAAATTATTAAAACTCATGTGAAATTAAAGTTAAAGAAAGGTAAATTATAAATACGATAAAAATTGCCTTATTTTTGAACTGTTTTAATAAAAACCTAGATTAATTAATCTGAGATAAACAGTTCGTTTAGGCCACGAGGTAGCCATTTTGAGAAATCGCCGATTTAGCTGTCAAGAAGTGACCGGGAAGAAATTTAAATTTTATATTCTATGATGTACAGATTCCAGCAAAACTACCCATATTTATGTAAAAATGGACACAGAATCCAAAAATGTCAACTAAAAGTATATAAATTCACTTTAAAAAGGAGATATTAAAGAAATTTAATTCCCGCATAGCAAATAGTGAAATTTATTTGGCTGAACAAAGATCGCTATGTAAGTTAGGTGTCGTTTGGTTGAGCATCCTCTTCTAAATAACTTTGAGCCCACGTATTCGATTCTGAGCAGCCAGTATTGAGCGACAGGATTTCAAAGTAACTGATAGGCAAAGAAGCCATTTTTCGTGGACCACCGACGCCATCTTGTAACTAAGCGATCTCTACTTTCGTTTTTAAGTGGGTCACTTCAATGATCATAATCGCTATTATAATATATGGCTCTCCTTGCAGATCCGGACGAGGGTTGGATGCGGGCTGGACAACTTAGTTCAGTTTAGTGGAAGTTCTCTCCCTTGGCCGCACTCGAAACAGTGAGCGGGAAAGTCACGAAACAAATTATATACTTACCTATCATCATACGGTTGCGTGTAAGGTTGCGTATGGTTGCGTTTAGGGTTGCATAGTCATCATATGGTTGCGTGTAGGGTTGCGTAGTCATCATACTGTTGCCTGTAGGGTTGCGTAGTCATCATACGGTTGCCTGAAGGGTTGCGTAGTCCATCATGCTGTTGCATGTAGGGCTGCGTAGGGTTTGGGTTAGGGGTGTGGTTAGGGGTAAGTTTAGGGTTAGGGTTAGGTTTAGCGTTAGATGTGACAATTTTGACGACGCAGGAATTCCCAATAATCGCGCACTGTCACATACACACCCAAACAGTCGACGGACCATGGATGCTACTGGCACGGACACGTCGCCACCGGTTGGGCACCAGCTGCGCGCTAGTGCGGTCATATTTGACAGACTTCCAGTGGCGCCACTCCCACAAGCATCAGATTGTCGGCCAGTATTTGGAACTCCTACGTCAAAATTGTCACATCTAACCCTACCCCTAACCCCAAACCCCTAACCCTAAACCCTAACCCTACCCCTAAACCCTAACCCCGAACCCACACCGTACGCAACCCTACATGCAACTGTATGATGATAGGTATAACCCTACACACAGCCGTATGATGACTAGGCAACCCTTCGCTCAACCGTATGATGACTACGCAACCCTAACAGCAACCGTACGCACCCTACAAGCAACCGTATGATGATAGGTAAGAATGTCATTTGTTTCGTGACTTTTCCGCTGACTGTTTCGAGTGCGGCCAAGGGAGAGAACTCCCACTCAACTGAACTAAGTCGTCCAACCCTCGTCCGGATCTGCAAGGAGAGCCTAATATATATTTAATAAATTTCTAGGCTCTCTCCGAACTTCTACCCCATATTAATAATATTATTATTAATAATATTAATATCGCGGCAAACAAATACCCTAACACTACAGGGCCTTAGTCATATGCAAAATGCGTACTTCCTGTCGAGGAACACATCTCGGCAAAACTGCGATTACTTGACATTTCAAGAGATGCAGCACTGCAGACGTTAGTAGCAGACGGCAGACGATAATTTATTAATAGCGACCGTTGACAATTTTAAGTGTTTCTGCAGACAATACTAGCAGGAGATACTGGCAGGTGATACTAGCGACCATTGACAATTTCGAGGCAGTCATCATTACAGACGATAATAGCGACATGGCGGGAAGACCACGCACCGACGTAGATTAGCGTCGTTGTTGCTCTCACACTTTTCAGCACAAAACGCGGTTAAACTTACCGCCGACGGTATCCCCAGCGCCGCTAGGCGCGGTGTGGATGGGGATCTAAACTAGATGACTGGGACTCACGAGCAAATAAACTAGAAGAAGTTGCAGAAGATGCGGTAGCTGCTGCTCGTGAATCCCAGCCATCTAGTTTAGCCCCTCCCCTCCATACTGTCGACAGTGCGGCATAGTCACAGAAACAGGTCCGCAAGTAACACATTGCTGACCCTGTTAGAGCATTTGTTTCGTTATTTGAGCAGATCCTAGTTTTGCAGCGATTTGTTCCTCGACAGGAAGTACGCATTTTGCATATGACTGAGGCCCTGTTAGGAAATTTGTTTTGCCGCCATAATATTGGGTAGAAGTTCTGAGGAGAGCCAATATATATTTAGAAAATAATCTTTTCACAAATTTGATAAATAAAAAAAAAATCTCAAAAAATGAATAAATCGTTCTCTCTCAATCAGTCAGTGGATCCCAGCCCACTGCGGCATAAATGAGTATTGAAGTGAGCAAGCGGGCAGACTTGCAAAGAATGGAATGAAAGTGAAACAACACACTCATTCACTGTCTATACTAGAAAGTAAATCACTTATCAAGGGGAAATACAAGGAATTGTGAAGAAAAAAAAAACCAGTAATCACAAGACCCATTAACAGACTTAGCAGAAAACAATATACAACAATTTTCGGCTATCCTCCGAATAACGGTCCATAATTATCGAGGCCCAAAATATATGCCAACAGCTCCTCAGTCACATGAAAATTGTGGACCTTTTTCCGGCGACTATACAGCTACCGCCGAGAGTATCACCCGTGCCGCTATGCGCAAAGTTGGGCTAAACTAGAAGGCTGGGACTCACAAGCAAATAAAATTGAGGAAGCTGCAGTAGATGCGGTAGCTGCTGCTTGTGAGTCCCAGCCATCCAGGAAATCCGGCAGAAGCCGGTGTGCTGTGTAGTCGCCGGAAAAAGGTCTGCAATTTACATGTGACTGAGGCCCTGTTAGGATATATTTTCGGCCTCGATAATTTGGGACCGTTATTTGAAGGATAGCCTAATTTTCCATCTAAGTAAGAACAGAACACCACAGCAGGCTCGACTGCCACATGCATAAAATAAAAACTACAGCAGGGCTATTTAACTGGCGGCCTGCTGGCCAAATCTGGCCCGCAGAGACCTAGCAATTGGCCCGCAGATCATTGCCAGTTGTATTATATTTAATGATCTTTCTATTCTTGGGCTCGGACTTCTGGCCCCTGACGATTCCAGATTTTACAATTTTGGCCCATGAGTAAACTTGTTTGAATAGTCCTGCTCTAGTCTCCACAGTGCATGTCAGATGTTGAATAGTCCTGCTCTAGTCTCCACAGTGCATGTCAGATGTTGAATAGTCCTGCTCTAGTCTCCACAGTGCATGTCAGATGTTGAATAGTCCTACTCTAGTCTCCACAGTGCATGTCAGATGTTGAATAGTCCTACTCTAGTCTCCACAGTGCATGTCATATGTTGAATAGTCCTACTCTAGTCTCCACAGTGCATGTCAGATGTTGAATAGTCCTACTCTAGTCTCCACAGTGCATGTCAGATGTTGAATAGTCCTGCTCTAGTCTCCACAGTGCATGTCAGATGTTGAATAGTCCTGCTCTAGTCTCCACAGTGCATGTCAGATGTTGAATAGTCCTACTCTAGTCTCCAAAGTGCATGTCAGATGTTGAATAGTCCCCTACTCTAGTCTCCACAGTGCATGTCAGATGTTGAATAGTCCTGCTCTAGTCTCCACAGTGCATGTCAGATGTTGAATAGTCCTACTCTAGTCTCCACAGTGCATGTCAGATGTTGAATAGTCCTGCTCTAGTCTCCACAGTGCATGTCAGATGTTGAATAGTCCTGCTCTAGTCTCCACAGTGCATGTCAGATGTTGAATAGTCCTACTCTAGTCTCCACAGTGCATGTCAGATGTTGAATAGTCCTACTCTAGTCTCCACAGTGCATGTCAGATGTTGAATAGTCCTGCTCTAGTCTCCACAGTGCATGTCAGATGTTGAATAGTCCTACTCTAGTCTCCACAGTGCATGTCAGATGTTGAATAGTCCTACTCTAGTCTCCACAGTGCATGTCAGATGTTGAATAGTCCTACTCTAGTCTCCACAGTGCATGTCAGATGTTGAATAGTCCTACTCTAGTCTCCACAGTGCATGTCAGATGTTGAATAGTCCTGCTCTAGTCTCCACAGTGCATGTCAGATGTTGAATAGTCCTGCTCTAGTCTCCACAGTGCATGTCAGATGTTGAATAGTCCTGCTCTAGTCTCCAGAGTGCATGTCAGATGTTGAATAGTCCTGCTCTAGTCTCCACAGTGCATGTCAGATGTTGAATAGTCCTGCTCTAGTCTCCACAGTGCATGTCAGATGTTGAATAGTCCTACTCTAGTCTCCACAGTGCATGTCAGATGTTGAATAGTCCTGCTCTAGTCTCCACAGTGCATGTCAGATGTTGAATAGTCCTGCTCTAGTCTCCACAGTGCATGTCAGATGTTGAATAGTCCTGCAAGTTTATAGAGGCACTCCACCTAACAATCTGACCTGAGCATATGAAACTGAACACAAAAAGGAAGTTTGAATTAATTCTTTTTTATTTCTTATAGTTGCAGAATAGTTTATCTTTGTAAACACACAATTTCTGCAAATGTCTTATTTCATGTATTGATGTTTTTTTGTTAGCATTACCTGTAAATGTTTATTTTGTTGTTGTTAACATTGCCCATGATTTGGTTGTATTTCCAGTGCAGTCACTTTGCAGTTCTTACTGTGTTGATGCCAACAGCATGGTCAACCAATGGATGGCTTTCTCTACTTCCAGAAGAATGGAATTAAACATGGAAAACCTTCATATTTTTGACAGAGAGGTAATGTTTCCTTATGTTGGTGTTAAGAACTGACACCACATCACTTAAGACATTTCCATAAGTGCCCTGTCGTCTCATCTTCAGCAGCCAGCGAAGAGTTCTAATTCTGATCTTACCCATAGCATTATTGATTATAGTTTATACAGTTAGAAGAAAAACTTTGCTGTCGTGAACTTGCTCGTTACAGCTCCTAATACTAGCATTAGAGAGAAAGTTAGAATAAGGCAGTGTCTAAATTATATTGACAAAGAAGGAATTAGTTCGGCCATCTGGTGAGAATGCAGCCAGACCAAACATCATATATTCCTGGAAGACAAGGATTGGACCAAAAAAAGATGTGGATAAATGATGAAGCTGAAACCTAAAAAAAAAATATGTCAACAAATCCCCCACCTACATGAGAAGTGCAGGACAAAAAGGAAAAACCACGACAGTGGGCTACAGTCTAGTACTAGTGAGACAATAAAAAAAGCTGAAAATACAAACACTCAGTTAACATGAACAAAATCTGGATCCGTATTGTCTGTCTTGTAAATGTAGAGTGTTGGCCAGATCAACTGGTCATTCCCAGTTGTATTCTCTAGTAAGGATCTGTTTGTGCTTCCCCATTGTTCTCCTTCTCCTTCTGTTGACATTTGAGAGTATGACAGTATTGATGTTGACATTTGAGAGTATGAAAGTATTGATGTTGACATTTGAGAGTATGACAGTATTGATGTTGACATTTGAGAGTATGACAGTATTGATGTTGACATTTGAGAGTATGAAAGTATTGATCTTGACATTTGAGAGTATGAAAGTATTGATGTTGACATTTGAGAGTATGACAGTATTGATGTTGACATTTGAGAGTATGACAGGATTGATGTTGACATTTGAGAGTATGACAGTATTGATGTTGACATTTGAGAGTATGACAGTATTGATGTTGACATCTTAGAATGTGGCAGTACTCAAGTTAAGGTCTGAGAATGTGATAGGATTGATGTTGACATCAGAAGATGTGCATGACTTTTCACAACTACCCAGTGTGTCTGTCCCTTTCTGTACTCACACAGAATAGAGGGAACAAACCCAAAATGGGTATTACCAGTGTGTTACTGGAAGAGTGGGTACCTAGCTCTTGTGAAATTTACTGGAGTACAACCTAGAGAGACTAAGCCTTATTGCAGACTGTTGAGAACAGGGTCTTTTGATTAATTTTTAGACCCATTAGAGATTAAAACAGAGAGAATGGACAGTGAGAAGCAACCACAAAATTTACTATCTTTTTAAATCTCCATTAGTTACTGTCATCATAAAAGCTTATTTATAGACTGCATTGTGTGGGGCATATAGAGAGATGACGGATAAAAGAGAGTCAAAAACTGAATAGACAAAAAAGTCCAGACCAGGAGGCACACCAAGAAGGTCATGGAGAGATAACATTTAGGCAGACCTTAATTACAAACACTTGAAGTCACCAACTGGAAAGAGAAGGCCAGAGATAAATGTCAGTGGGTGGTATCTGCAGCAATGGGTTCAGAATATTAGAGATATATAATTTGGGTGTTTGCCCAGAGGTCTGTGATATAATTCTTCATTAGCCATTAAACAAATGTGAGAATATGATTTCGACCTAGAAACTAATTGCAGTCCATTTACAGCATTGTGTGCATGTGTAGCTTTTAGTGGTATTAGAATTGCTGCTTGGGACTGACTGGGATGTCGCCTTGTAACATTCCCAGAGAGAGACATCAGTAGATTCACATATCAACTGCTGGCAACCTCCATTGTGGAGATGCCACCCATGCACACAAATAATTGTACTTCTCTTTTACTTCCAGTTTATCTCTGCAAACGATACAAAGCTTGTTGTTGATCTCTAGTTAGAGCATAGATATTTTCTTCAACAGTGGCTGCCCAAAAAGCTCCAAGCCTCTCAGGCCAAGACTCCACAACCGAAGCGAGTAAAAGTGTTTGACAAGGACACTATTGACATGTGAGTCCTTCAGTAGTAATCCCGTCATCAGGTAGAATCTCAGCCCTTTCACCACGAGAAGCCACACAACCCAGTTCCCCATAAATGTCACTGTCTTTCTTGTCTATAGTGACTTATTTACAAGATGTATAGAGGATGCTACTGGCAGTTTTTGCGCCTCCACAAGTTTTAGAAGGTTATGATATGAAAACGTTATCTAAAGATAACATTTAGGGAGGTTTTCCTTTGAGTCAAATATATTTTTTAAAGGCAAGGTAATGTCAGATTTTTCTGTCAGTTGTGATAGAGGTCATGGGGGTCATATTAATAGTCATCCAATACATTTGTTTTTTTAAGGCCAGAATTTCAGATTTCTGAAGTTTTATTAGAAAGGAACTCTCTTTCCAAATAATAACATCTACTCCTCCTTCCATCTCATTACCATTTTAATAGGCACTCGACTCTTCCCAGGATAGTAAAGTGAGGTGAAATGTTCATTTGTTTCATCTAATTGCTTTGGTATTTATGTATTTTAGTAATAGGCAGTATATAAATTATTTTATACCACCCCATCAATGTAAAATATACTAATAACAGTAGGATTTTCTTTATGACAATGGATTAGTCATTGTCCCTTTATTTTTTATGGGAAAATTTGTTTGACGCACGTACTATTTCGTATACGTCCAAGGATCAGGAGCAGATTAAATATGCATACTGAGGTACCGTTGTATTTGCCTTGTTTCACTCAGTACTAAGGAACAGTGCAACAGAACAGACAGACCATCTATATCTGGAGAGAATGATTCAGCTAGGAGTTGGCAGAGGGTCTGGATGATTCGTTTCCCACAAGGGACAAAAACAGGGCAAACTTTCAATTAAGTTGCTACTGGCAACATCAGTGTGTGGGAAATCTTTGTTGGCTGCTGACAAAAAGAAGAATATCCCGAGTGTGGCAATGATGTAAGTTCGCTGTTGACTGATTCGTTCATCCACTCAGTACTTTATGCAGATGTTATATGTAAATGTGAGCTTTTTTTTAATGTTTTTATTTTTTGGGGTAAAATTATTCAGATTAACAGTTAATGCTTTTTTTCTGACAGACTTCTGGAAGATCAAATAGAAGTTCTTGGATCTTACGCAACACCAGACGCAAAGGTAATGCTAAAATAACTAGGGAGATAGGTTTTTGTTTTTGGTATTCAGAAGCCATAAGTTGTTAACCCTTAGGCTCGGTATTATGGATATCGCAACCTTTCGGCTTTGATTCCATTGTAAATACCGTAAATCTGGGAGAAAATGTGGCTTTTCTGCCTACCCCCGGGAGTGAACCCGGACCACAAGGAGTTCGTCACCCGCTCACCGTACGAACTACGCTAGAGAGCTGGGCAGGGAGATAGGTTAAAGCTGAAAGCGTCAATACATTTAAACAGGTTTTACAGTTGACATCTGGTCAATAAAATAATTAAGCAGATCAAAGAATAAAAATGCTGTAACCTGCAGCTCTTTTTTTTTTTCTGCTTTTTGTTCTCCAGCGGAGCATATGCTTTCAACTAACTCACACCAGCTTATCCCATCTTTTGCTATCGCAGGCAGCTCACTCTATATTCACCTCATCATTTTAACTACGCACTTTAATTCCCTTATCCACGTGTTTTCTTTCAACCTTGCGTGTCATAAAAGGCAACTAAGGAAGGTTGATACTAAATGGTTACTCATGAAGAATAAGAAGATGTAGCTTCACTAGTTAGTGATATATTATGAAATATGGATATCTAAAATTTAATTAGAACCACTTCCTGGCCAACATTTGTTGATATGGAGATTTCAAATGTCTCATTCAAATCAAGCCTATCAGCCAGAAATTTGTAAAAACAAAATGCACTTTTGGCGCATCAGGCTTATATGCTAGATCTATATTTTATTTAAATAGAAAGAACATTTTAAAGGATCTGAACATCAAGGAAGATTGGCTAATAAACAGTATCTCGATTCAAAGCTGAAATACTTTAGTCATATCAAGCCCCATTACGGATTGGAAACAAATAATAGCAGAAGGCATGGTACCAGGAAGGAGGGGCAGGGGCCGACACGAAGATGGGCACAAAATATAAGTGACTCCTTGAATATGAAAGTGCACGAAGTGGGAGAGCTGGAGAAAGACAGAGTTTTTTAAAGGCAGACCAAGATGACAGCGGCGTTCTGCAAAGAGCTGCTACATGGTGATGGTGAGGAAGAAAATAGGAATTAAGAAGAAAATCATGGCTCATAGGTTAAAAGTTAAGCGTGTGAGAAGATACAAATTAGATACATGAAGTGGCAATAATGGTCTTAAAACCTCCTGCACTATTTATGGAAGACACTTCTTAACGTGAACAGGTCTTTCTATTGACACTGGCCGTTGCCACAGGCTGTGATACCCATGCCTTCCTATATGGCACAATATAAGACTATCGCCTGGACTGATGGAAAGATGCCACCCAATATTTTTATGGACCAATCAGCAATAAACAATTTTTTATATAAAAAGATGCAATAATTCCTGGGCGCTTACTGATAAATGTGGAACAAAATGGGCTCTACTTGAAAAATCATCCTCCACAATTATAATGGTGCAGTCTTAATGTAGTGGCTGGATCCTCACCTGCATATACAATGTCATGGGTTCAAATCCAAGCAGAGCTGGACTTTTTTCTTTGCAAAAATTCCCTTGGCTCTAAGGGTGACTCGAACCTTAACTGGGTACGAGGTTAAGTTCTGAGAAGTAAAGGTGGCCGATGTGGTGTTAATAATAAACAATGTAAAGATTTATAAATACACAAAATACACATAATTTTTAATGTCGAGACATCCTCATTCTTTACCATAACAGAGCCAAATTGCTAAACGACAGCTTACCCCAGAAAATTTGAACAATTCTAAGAGGTTTATTGGAGCCACAAGAAGTCCATTGATAAATGCTGCGTTCTCTCCAGTAGTCGCTTCTCCTACAAGGTTTGTTTTATGCACTTTACACAGTCGGAATTGATTTTAACATTGTCTTGTGTTGAAATATTTTCTTTCAGTTCATCATTTTTATCATATTTTATTCAAATTGTAGATAGAGCCACGTGATTATTATGTGTCTTGACTATTGATGTTCATGTATTTCCACACAAAACTGTTGGTGCATGTATTTCCACACAAAACTGTTGGTGCATGTATTTCCACACCACTGGGTTCTTGATGTTTTTGGGCTTGGTGTTCTGAATCCAACCCTGATTGTAGTGCTTTAAAATTGTCAGCCACGTTTTGGTTGCTCATGTGTTCTAGGGTCCGATCCAGATACATCTGATACAAGACCCTGTCCTGGGCCCGAACTGCAAACCTCTGCCGCTATGCCTCTTTGTGGACCTGGAAGTGCGCTCGGATAGACCAAGTCACTTAGGGGACTCACACTGCTACAGAACTCATGACATCACTTTCTTCTTCTTGATTCTTATTCCCACCAAGTTATGACATCAATATAGACATTCAGTTACAGTAATGCTTGCATTTATTAAGAGAATACTCTTGTGAAAGACTAGTTCTGGCATGGCACTAGATGAAATAATTAAAACTACCCAATAATAACGATACTTTCTTTGAATCAATCAGTTACTTATTTTAACCTGTTAATGCTAACACAACAGCACATTACTACTGAATCCACATATCTGTCTGTCAGCACTATAGCTATCACACAATAAAGCTCTACACACAGTTGTGTTATTGTGTAATCACAGGCTAAACTAACAGATGGATTCTGTGAATCCTTTATGTCACTAAAACGTTCTTAAGCCATCATCAAACTAAACTGTTAATAGGAAAACTATTACTCAACACAATGAGTCCATCCTGTCTCTGCTGTCGAAGCTGGCTATCCAACAAAAAACAGCTCACCTGTCTTTTTGCTGTTTTCCACACCTCATTGGTCAAGGCTCGGTCAGCAAGTCTCTCGTGAATTGCTTAGTATCTACTCAGGTCGTCTCGCTTTCTGGTGATGGTCGTGCTAGTTGGTCGGTTACTATCATCATACGCACACACACATAGCCACACAGGGCCCTATAGCCACACAGGACCCTATAGCCACACAGGGCCCTATAGCCACACAGGACCCTATAGCCACACAGGGCCCTATAGCCACACAGGGCCCTATAGCCACACAGGGCCCTAAAGCCACACAGGACCCTAACAGTCAAGAAATGTCAAAAGGCACAAAAACAACAGAAGAAAAACAAGAATGCAGAGAGTAGTTGGTAACTTGGTAACCTTTGTGGAGAGGTCGCAGCTGCCCGGGGCGCCCGGCTCACAGTTTGGGAATCACTGCTGTAGAATATAATTTTATCTTTATCCATACATTTTAGAAACTTATCTGTAATATTTAAATTAAAAATTTGTGAAAGATATCTGTAAAGGTAAATATTTGCAAAGAGGTATTTTTTCATTAATTTTTGCTTTTACGTTTCAGTTTGACGCCATCAGCCAAGTTTTCATCCAGGGGTAATGCAGGTGACATTGTGGTGAAATTTGGCAACACTAATGGAATATCCTGGCAAGGGGAGGGTCTTGGTTGTAAGGTCACACACTTTGATCCAAAAACTGTGCTGACATTCCAGACAAAATATATGTTTCAGAAAATGTCAGAGAAGGCATATGGTAAGTCGGTCATCTATGTTGGTAAGTGAGGTTATGGGTTGAGTGAGCTTAAGGGGTGAGTGAGCTCTCTGTCCCAACCACATGTCTGCACTGTTGGAAGTGCTTAATTGGTTGCCAATCCTTTACAGGACATTGAAGAACCAACCTCAGCTTTTTTTTGGTTGCTGTCATTTTTGTAGGCAAATTTTACCTTCATTAGTTTGCCATTGCTTTCTAAATGGTCAGCTCTCAGTACTACTGACGAACCACCACAAAACAAACCACCTGCAGCTGGGATCGAACCCGACACCCCGGCATCACGAAGCATGTTTGCAGTGCCTAAGCCACAGACGCCGAGGTTGGAAGTGGTAAACAAGGCAGAATGAGGAATGACTAAAAGTGTGGGGCAGTATCTGGGGTCTGCCTTGTTGGTCTTACCAGGTAGCAGGCCAGAGGGGACAAATTGATCATTCGATCTACCATTCTGCATATCCTTTATCCTCTTGCCTACCTGAACTTAACATGTGTACCTGACCCTGTATGGTCTACCCAGGCCCACTTGTTCTACCTGAGGAACAAGGATGTGGCTTTGTGCCATAGAGCTTCTCAGTCAGTCAGTCAGTAGCATGTCCTTTGCCAAAACCTTGCTCCCATAACAACCTTCCGGAAAACCTCTTGATCAAAAGCAAGATGCCACACGTCTGATACACCCATCTGAAGATCATCCACCACGACCTATATTTGACCTTCCTCTTCCTCTCTTCCCAGGCAATATACCCCTCAATTTTTTGTTCTCTCTAAACTTTTGTGATATTTCAAGTGACCAACATATTTAAATTTTCTATATTTTATGGTCTTTAATAGCCAACCTTATCAATATTCAGTTCTTGAAGTATGGATGCATTTGTTCTTTTCTTTACCCATGATATTCTTAGAACCCATCTATAATATTTGTATTCAAATGCATTTATGCGCTGTTCAGCTTGTTTAGTAAGTGTCCAGATCTCACAGGCATATGTTGCAATGGGAAAGATGCATGCTCTTAGAAATCTAATTTTTGTAGTTCTCTGTCCCACTCCATAATTTATTCAGTTGTTTGAGTCTTTGAAGAGCAATTGATACAGTAGCCATAAAGGTCATCCTGGGTCAACCCTAGCCAACGGGGTTCTGACCTGGCAAGCCAGCAGGGGTTTATTGTCACTACCGAAGCTTTGAAAGAAGGGAAGAAGAAGAAGAGCCCTCTGTATATAAATGGCAAATTATAGCAAACCTCTTCAATATGTAACGGACCTTGATGTACCAGACCTCACCATTTTTTCTTGAGCATTTCATTTCCTTGTGGAGCATAGGGCTTGAACCAGCTCATACCAAGCTCTTTGTTGACCTTTCATGACTTGCAAGATTATGCAGCTAAGGTTTTTTAGGGGAATAGGCAGCCATATTATAGCAGTGTGTGGGAAATAATCCAGGTGTGTATGGAGATGATATTATTGATAAAACAGGAGTGTGTGAAAAAGGTGTTAGGGATCTTGTCTTCTTTAAAAAAAAATTTTTTTTTAAGTTTACCCACTGCAGACTCCGGCGGAAAGTTCTGGTAATTCATCCACTTCTTTATGTAACAGGCTGGCGGAATAGGTAGTTAGCCTGTTATAATCATTCTGGTTTGGATACACTTGCGAACTCAGACTGAAAGGTTTGTAGATCGGAACTCTCCGGAAGTGGCCAGCAAGTCAAAAAGTTGATATCAGGCCTGGTGGGGGAGAAAATTGTCTATTTCATCGATGGCAATGGGACTAGAAAGATGCAGTCCTGTCCTTTTTGTGAGGAACTATACAGGGTTCTAGCGCACTATAGGTTCATGGGACTCGAGAGATGAATTAGCTAACTGGTTAAGTGTTTTTGCAGTACATTCGGTAGATAGTGTTAGATCTAGATTTCCATGTACATCCTCCCCGAGGATTTTGATTGTAGGTCACTTTGAGAGGAGGTGAGCCTTCATCTTTGTTAGCTGGAGTGATTAGCACATGGTCTGTTCAAACATGTTGCTGATTGTTAATGTATTGTTATCTGCCAAGCATGCTTGTCTTATATTCAGAAAATAAACAGATGTTGAATGTGATGCCTAAATTCTATTTGTTTGGTTCAGAATAGGACTTATAGTTCATGCACGTAGTCTGGCTAGGTGCTGCCTATGTAGCTGTATGTTGTGCAATTCACTATTCACGTATTCATCGCCTGGGCCATAAGTAATATGTCATGGTCCCTGCATCAGATCTCTTGTCTTTTCCTGAACCTTTTCTGTTTTTAGTCTAGCTGGGAGCTATTACCACTACTCTAGAACCCACACAGGGAGGTATTGGGATAAACCTGAAATGTGTGGACAGAGGACTCGGGATAAACCATGAGTGTGTAGACAGCATAATAGTGTATGGACAAATTATAATTGATAAATGGTGTGTTTTTGTTTTATTAATATATCCAGAAACCATGAGTTGTTAACCCTTTTGCTCGGTACTATGGATATCGCAACCCTTCGGCCTTGATTCCATGATATGTACCGTAAATCTGGGAGAAAATGCGGCTTTTCTGCTTACCCCCGGGAGTGAACCCGGACCACAAGGAGTTCGTCACCCGGTCACCGCGCAGTCTGGTTTAGCCAACTACGCTAGAGAGCCGGGCACATAAATGGTGTTTAAACTGAGTATAAAAGATGAACCAGAAATGTTTAAAAAAAATTTTTTTTACTATATTTTTAACACACAAGATTCAATGTTAATTTACTTCAGTGCTTAATGAAGCCATACAAGAGATGTCAGCCGTGCTACAGAATGCTCATGGTCTGGAGGAATTTTCTCATGTAGCTCTGCCGTCACAGGTTAGTGCAGTTTATCTACCTTTGATCACTTTTGAATAAAATTATTTGCCTTTTATATTTTCGGCCTCTTTTCCTCACTCCTAGAATGCCTTGCAGCATCAGGGCAGGAAAAGATCTGGTATGGGCCTTCGATTTGCTTCGCATATAGTACTTTTCAGTGTTTCCGATATTTTTGCAGTGTTTACCTATGGCTCTGTTATCGCAGTAACTGTATAACTGCTCTCTGTGGAGCCCCATTTGTTGCCAGTCTTGTTACATGGCCAAACCATTTGATCTCTTGTCTACTGTCAGTTTTGTGTGACTTGGTGACTGGCAATGATGTAACCTAACATTGATAGGCAAGGAACACTGTTTATGAGCTCCACAAGTGACAACAAACAGGAAAAGGGACTGTCTGCCATGGAAAATCAATACGGCTCTCCTGCTGTGTCATAACAATACATTTGATTCCTCTTAGGATTTATTATAGTGATGACATTGTTGATCCTTTATTAGCCAGACTGATATGTGCCCATGATGCCTCATGTTCACAAGGTCTTTGTCAGTGTAAACATCAACCAGGATGCACCTGGATGGTGATGGAGTATGGGTGACCTAATCGTAACGTCTTTGGAGGTTGAATGGGTGACATAGTCGTAACGTCTTTGGAGGTTGAATGGGGTATTTTGGGATCTACCTTGTTGGTTTTCAGACCGGATTGAGCTTTTTTTTAAATCTCAAGGATGGGTCAGTAAACCTTTAGGTATCAGCCTGGAGGGGACAGACGGATCGATAGATCAGATCTTCTGCATCTCCTCTATCCTCTTCCCTACTTGAACTCCCCTTGTATACCTGACGCCAGCTTGTCTACTTGATCCCACTTTACCTGCCTGAGCTCCCCTTGACTAGCTTATCATATATGTCTAGCTTTAGTTAGAACATACAAATATAATATCTTACATGTTAGAGATTTCTCCACAGCCAGAAATTGTAAAGATGTGGCTGTAATTAACTGCAGTCTTGACGGAATTCCAAAAATACGACAACCTACCCAAAATGTAGTGTTTATTAATGGGGTACCAGTGGGTGGTGGAACGGCCTCTTGATATAGAGGCTAGCCGCAAATATATTCAATAAGCGGCTGTGGACCAAAACAGGTGGTGGTCTTTAAGATGAGGTAAGCTAGCGGACACATAGCTCTATAAAATACCCCAAAACTCAGTGACATGGCCATCGGCGGGTAAGCGGCGCCATTATAACCTCTCCTTTAGACAAAAAACAAACCGGTGTAAGACCAGGGGAAACCACTGCTGTATTTTCCCTAATAAATCATGATTTTTAAAACAATCGAATTTAGAGAAAAGGGAAACTGTTAGAAAACTGCTAAAAGTAAAATTGCCTAATAAAAATCAAGAAGTGATATGACTGGCGTCCAGACATTTCTACACATGCTCAGTTCCCTTATACAGTATCCAACAGAGGATTCACATACTTATAGTGCTAGCTGCAGTCTTATTAAAAGTTTGCCTGTCTTTCCCCTGCATGTAGAAAAACATCCGGACCCTCATTCATGCATTTTGAATAGTATCATGTATGTAATTTAATTGTTCGTTATTTTACTGATTATTATAACGTTTTGATCTTTTTTTTTTTTCTGCTTCTAGGAATCAGTGACAGTTGCTGGCCGTATATGTTGTGATAGCGTTGGGAAAATCAACAGTCAGTCGGTGCAGCTGGAGGGGTCAAGGGAGACTTCAGCGGGAAAGTGTATTAGTTTTGACCTTACAGATTTAAACAACTATAGCCTTTTTCCTGGCCAGGTAAACATCATGTGCTTGTTCCAAAATTAGTTTTAAAGTGTTCATTAACGTGGAATTACCTGAGTGTCACTAGGATTTTTTTAAAAAGCAGCGGTTATAAAATATAAAGGTTAAAGTTGAGAGGATTGAGTTCATTGCACTGGGTTTTATTCCATATAGCTCAGTCTCACACAGAGTAGTTAGCTGCACATCGAGACCATCACACAAAAGTCCTGTGGCATATCCTGGAGGTCTCCATAACAATTGCACAGGGGAACTGAATGACGCAGCCTTGAAATGAACCCATAACCTTCGGAGTGCAGGGCAGATGGGTCGGCCACAGAGACACCCCCATGGATAATAAAACCTAGCATGGGTGTTAAGAGAAACGACTGAGGGAGGGAGGCTGGTGTGTGATGGGCTGCCTCATCTTGTAGAAAACTGGCTGGAAATGCATCCAGTCGTGAACAGCACTGCACAGTTAATTAAAATAATCTCTGTATGGGTTCTGGGAGGAAAAAAGAATAGACCCTCATCTCCCTTACATATATCCTACAAGGCAACTAATCATGGAAGTTTCCTTCATAGTTGGAGTGCATCTGTCTGAGAGGCAAGGAACCAACAGTCTGCATACAAATAAGCCAGATCTGTAAAACTGATGTGTATGCAGAACTCAAGTTCTAATACGTTATACACATAATTTGTTGAATTTCCATTTAATTTGCACATAATGCCTCTTGTTATTATTTGCCAGTATTCTCAAAGGCTAGACATTCAATCTAGCTATGAAAGTGGTCAGGCCATATTGTTTCTAATTATGGCATGACAATATTGTCAATTTGTTTTTATATTTTTTTTTTATAGCAGAAGGCAATTGTGAAAAATGGTTGCCATTAACTTAGTTGATTTAAGCTGATTTCTAGAACTTGCACAGAAATGAGTTGTTTTTGTAATTAACTAAATTTGAATTTTTAACTTACGAAACTAGAGCAACCTCTAATGAATAAATGTTGATAAATTTGTTTTTTAAGTTATTCAGATTTACATTGTTTTTCAAGTTGTTTTTTCACACTTGTTTGCAGATAATAGCCTGTGAAGGAGTCAATATAACAGGAAAGACATTTGCAGTGAAGAATATTTATCCAGTAAGTTTCTTGAGACATTTTGATTTAATATTTTTTATTTTAGAACGGCATATCCCCTTGTTAGTTTCGTCGCCCTATTTTTGTTTGGGGGGGGGGGGGGGGGGGGGGGACACTGCCACCCAAACTCTACAATTTTTACGACATGCAGGGTTTGGGGGTGGCAGTGGCCCCCCACCCCCGCTGCATGTCGTACAAACTGTAGGAGTTTACTTTTGAGTTAGAGTACATCTGCCTGAGAGGTGAGCAATCAAGTCTGTATACAGTTAAGCCGTGACACTTGAAAGCTACTGCACAATACTAGACTACATGGTGAACATCTGCTCAAAGTAGGTATTCTTCTTCTTCTTCTTTGCGTTCACCAGCTGTAAACTCTGGTGGAAAGTTCTGGTTGTTCATCCATTTCTGCACTGCAGTCCTATTCCAGAACCTGAGTGTTGCGTGTGCATCCGTTTTACAGATCTGACTAATTTGTATGCAGACTGCTGGTTCCTTGCCTCTCAGGCAGATGTACTCCGACTTCGAAGGAAGCTCCCAGTTAGTCGACATGCTTTTGGGTAGGCAGTGGGTCTATTCTTGTTTTCCCTATAACAGGGCACTGGAACCCACATGGGAAAAATGTAGGTATTGACTTTTGAGGCATCTAGAAAAAGTGCAGCTGACAGTGCAAACAGGCTAGAAAGACCCGTATCACATGCCCTTTACCTACAGACACTGTTTCCTGCCCTTGTTGTCCGAGATCCTTCCAGGCCATTTTGAGCTTATTAGTCACCTTGTGACCAGAGGAAAGAAAGAGTGGTCCTCATCACTTGCGAAGGACAAACAATGCAACATACAAATAAGCCGGGTCTGTAAAATGGAGGTGTACGCAAAACTCAAGTTATGGAACAATACCAAAGTCCAGAAGTGGCAGAACAGCCAGTGAACACCAATAAGAAGAAAAAGAACGGCATAAATTGTGGTGTTTTTGTTGCATTAAAAAACCCACCAATGGGCTCACACAGATGACTCATCCTAATATGGAGCAGAATGTTGCTGTCATGGTAACTGGCCAGAGAGATGCATGATTCCTTTGCTTCTTCTCTTTTCTCCTGTATATTGATGCCATGTGTGTGATGAGTGGAGTAGGAAGTTTCAAAACAGTGTAGGGTCATGACTTGGTGTGCCTGACTCGTTCATGAACAGTCTGTCACAGAAGTCACCACCTTAATGAAACTTCGTACTCCACTCACACACTTGCTGGGCTGACTGGCATGCTTCACCTTACCAGACCTTCATTTCTGTGGTTTCTTGGTTGGTTTCCTGTGCCTGTGAAAACCACACAGAATGTCCATCACTGTCTGTCCCTTGTAAAAAAAAAATTTTTTTACACGGGCTGCAGTCTCAGCAAGTCCAGTAGCACACACATGCATTAAAAGCATAAGGCAGCTTTTGTAAATGTCAGCACAAACAGTCTGACACTAGAAGTTACAATTACAAGAGAAGAGAACAGTAGTTGCAGACACAATTAATCAAACAAGGCACCGCCTGTTATCTGTGGCAATAGTTCACACCATTTTATGAGTTTATTAGTATTGAGCACAGTCCAAGAGCATTTCAAACTAGATTTGCAACACATTGTTGCACTGTGCACTGAACTCAGTAGCTGGGCATCAGAACTATATCCTTTCAGTCTATATAGGGAGGAAAATGCTACGGCTAACTGTTGTAATAAGCAAAAAACTTGCCATGCCTAAAAACAGTAAACTGCCTATCCTCTGTATTGATTGGAATCCTGCAAAATGCTCATATCATACAGCTTGCCATTCTGTATCTTTTTGTAACAATAGATATCTACCCTATATGCTTTTGAGCTGAAATTACTGTTTGGTTTATTTTCAGTCTGTTCCCTTGCCTTTTCCAGAAGTTGCAGACGAGCAGGAGAATGGTAGGTTGTATGGGTTTAGATTCAACCACCCATAGTAATTCCAGATTTCCCACAGCTAAATTTTAAACTTTCATCCATTTCTTCTTATCACACCATCAGATGTTAGTTTTCCCTGTGTGAGATCAAGGGCCTGATTTTGGACGGAAAATAACAGACGCTGTTCCCATTTGTAAATGTCATGTTTGCTGAAAATGAAATGTGTTACATTACCACTTCCAGTATGAGAATGGAGGTTGAGGCGGCAAGTGCTGCTTCCGATAGGTGGAGGAAATCTCAGCCACACATGTTGTCATAGTATCAGCTTCAAAAAGCATGCTCAGGAAGGCGGAGTCAGGTTTTCCTTGTATGGAATGGGTTCCCTCAATCCAGAGGTGGCTGGTGATGAGAGTCCCATGTATATTTTGCCTTGGCGATGTAGGTGTGTTTAGGAATGAGCAGACAGATAGGTTGGCTGGATTGGCTCCATTTGGGGGGTGTACTGCACAAGACAAAGTTGATCTCTTGCTTGTGGGATGAGGTAATGATTAAAGAGGGAATGATTGAAAATCCAAACATGGAGAGAATGATGCAGCAGGGTGTCTCCCAGGCTGTGTGCCAGGTTTGTTTGTTTGTGAAGACCAGAAATGAAAACAATGGACATTAAATACCCACTGCCCTCCCTAACAAGCGTGCCGTAAAAGTTGACTAATTAGGGAGCTTTCTTTCGAAGTCGTGAAAGGTGGTGGACAGTCTGCCTACAAATAAGTCAGATCTGTAAAACAGATGTGCATGTAAAGTTTAAGTTCAGAAACAAGACCAAAGTCCAGAAATGGACAAACAGCCAGAACTTTCCATTTTAGTTTACAGCTGGTGAATTTAAAGAAGAATAAGCGTTTATGGGTTAAAATTTGTGGTAGTTATTGTCTTCATAAAATAATCCCAGTTATGGTGCATATAAATCATAGTGGTGTTTTATGTGTAGTTTTATTTATTGTTTTCTTGATTTGTAGTTTTATTTATTGTTTTCTTGATTTGTAGTTTTATTTATAGTTTTCTTGATTTGTAGTTTTATTTATAGTTTTCTTGATTTGTAGTTTTATTTATAGTTTTCTTGATTTGTAGTTTTATTTATAGTTTTCTTGATTTGTAGTTTTATTTATTGTTTTCTTGATTTGTAGTTTTATTTATTGTTTTCTTGATTTGTAGTTTTATTTATTGTTTTCTTGATTTGTAGTTTTATTTATTGTTTTCTTGATTTGTAGTTTTATTTATTGTTTTCTTGATTTGTAGTTTTATTTATTGTTTTCTTGATTTGTAGTTTTATTTATTGTTTTCTTGATTTGTAGTTTTATTTATTGTTTTCTTGATTGATCTCTTACTTAGGAAAGGGGGGGGGGGTAGAGGATTTCTAGACAGACTGCCAGACTTCTGAATCAGCAGTTTTCTTTATGGCTTTGTTCCATTCCCCTCCTCTGTCAATCAGGGACTGTCGGATGTTGTCTTTCCAGCGAACCCCGGGTCGCTTTGATTGTCTGGTGCCCTGGTTCTTGGCCTGCCATGGTCTTTCTGGATCTTGATTTTTAAAAATGTCACTTCCAGAAATAAGATTAACCTCTTTAAAAAAAAAAACTTTAGGTAACATCAACTCCAAGCTATCCATCCACAAATTAAATTTAGGGGTAATAAAGCACTGAAATAATTATCAGATTGTGACGAGGCTGTTTTTTCATTTCTGTTTAAGTTGGTTTGCTGAGACTGATTGTAGCTTGTGGTCCGTACTCCCCGAGCGACTGTCTGGATTACTCTCCCTTATGTGATCTGGTGAAATACATCAGTAGAGACAAACCAGACTTGTGCATTCTGGTGAGTGATTTCATGATCTTACATTTTTCTTTGTTCCTGTAATTAAGGGAGTCGCCGTGCTGTAGTGGCTGGACGCATGCCTATGGATCTGAAGGTCAAGGGTTCAAATCTGAATGGAGCTGGAGTTTTTTCAAAAATGACCTTGGCTCCCAGGTCAGCCCAGCCTTAAATGGGTAGTAAAAAAAAAGTAAAGAACCCTTTTCACGCCTTAGGCGTATCGAGTAAATGGAAAGAGCGACCCATATTTTTACAGACCAACCAGCACTGGATGGGTAATGTGGTTAGCATTATGCCAGACGACTTTACTTCCCCAGGACAGCCATCCTGGTACCCATTTTAAGGTGGGTCGACCTGCAACACCCCAAACCATGATAAAAATCCACGCAGCCAGCAGTGGGTTTCGATCGCAGTACGTTGGATTACGAGTCGGACTGGCAACGCCTGAGCCATGGACGCCGCTCCCTAAATGGGTACCAGGTGAAAATCCTGGGAAGAACATACAGCTAGCGTGATGTTGACCACATCAGTCACTGAGTGCCTTTCTTCTTTCTAGGTCTAGCCCTATATGCCCTGAAGGCGTGAAATAGGCTCCTTTACTTTACATGACTATATTTCAAGATTGTGGTTTATATAGATCGGTGTGAGAGTTGTTTCTGTACTTTAGTATATTGTTGTATATAATTGACAGAGTAATTTCTATGTTTTACAGTAATCATGATGCAAGAATATCTAGAGGTCCAACAAATAAAACATAAAACATCCCTGTGTGAGTTTAGAGGCCCCATTGTGAAGGAAAACAAGAATAGACCCTCTTCCTCCCCAAAAAAGCATGTCGTAGGAAGTCGATTTCTTGGGGGCTTCCTTCAGAGTCAGAGTACATCTGCCCAAGCAGCAAGGAACCATAACTGTACAGTAAAATGGATGTAAATGCAAAACTCAGGCCCTGGCACAAAGTCGAAGTCCAGGTGGACGAGCAACCAGGATTTTCTACCAGAGCTTACAGCTGGTGAAAGAAGAAGAAAAGAAGAAGGAAACATAATACAAAGTCTGTATTGACCCCCAGAATCATACAATCAATACAATCCTGATGCTACTGAGAATCAAACTCTGACCAATGTCTTCACAAACAACTGCACTAACAGCTGTGCCATCTTGGCTTCTAAGACAATCATATGTCTCATAATGAAAAACTGGCCATTGGTCCATAGTGACAAACATCCATCTAAAACTGTTTAGCCATCTCAGAAATTTGTTTTACATGAAACAAGATTATTATGGCCTGGAGAGAATGAGGCACCTGGGTGTAACCAGAGTGTCTGACTGGCTCACTACACTCAGAGGAAAGGCAAGATGGACATATAACCAGATTGTGACCGGTACCAATAATATTGAAACTCTGCGCTGGCTGCTGAAGATGAGGACGGAGCACACATTAGAATGCCCTGAGTGCTGTGATGTCAATTCTTGACTTAACTCAATTCTATTACACTAATATAAATTTAAAAAGCAACAGCAACCTGGAATTCTTGTGTGTGTGTGTATATATATATATATATATATATATATATATATATATATATATATATATAAAATTTAGAACAACTTGCCTGTGGGTTTTGGGATGGTCAGAACAGACCCACTGTCCCTTATTAAGCATTGTCCTAAAAAGCAACTAATTAGTGGGTTTTTTTTAATCGGATGTAAACAGCAACACAACATGGCAGTCGCCATTGTTAAGGATGAACGAAGAAAAAGATTTAGAACAACAGTGAATAAGGGAAAAAAAGGAATATGAAGATGGAGGAAGAGATAACCAGTGAAATTTGATGTATGATTTTATGTCACAAAATGTTTACCAACACTATGCTATCAGTGTCAGACATGGACACTGTCTTCAGAAGACAGAAGTGAAATAGTCACTACAGAAATGAAATGTTTACCTACTTACTAGGTGTAACGAGGAAAGATCGACTTAGGAATAATGATATCAGGAGGAGAGCCGGCACAGAACCAATACAGAACTTTATAGCTAGACAAATCGAATGGTTTGGCCATGTAACAAGATTGGCATCAGACAGGACACCACAGAGATCAGTGTTATAAAGATAGAGCAGTAACAGAGCCAGAGGTCGACCACACAAGAAATGGACAGCAGAAATATCAGAGACACTGAAAAGTACTTTATATGAAGCAAACAGAAGGGCCCGTTCCAAAGATTTCTTCCTGTCCTGACGCTGTGAGGCACATCAGGGGTAAAGAGAAAAAGATTATTTCATGTCTTTATTTTTTCTTTCCCTTCACTTTTATGTAATAGTATCCTATGTTGAATGTAATTCACTACATTTTTTTGGTTTATTTGCAGATGGGTCCTTTTGTGGATGCAAAAAACACAGTAATTAATGTAAGTATTCCATTGTAGTTAACATACTCTCACAACTTAAATGTTCGGAGTCAGTCGTCTGCTTGTGTTCTTACAGTGTGTGATTATTTGCCATCACAGGCTGTTGATGTTCTCAATTTTTTTTAAAAAATCTTATTTTAAAATGACTAGTCTTTCTTTCGTTTGTTTATTAGCTGTTAATATTTTTCTTTGTGGGAGAGAGTTCCTGATGAATGGAGATTAACTAAGTCTCTTCGCCCTGAGATAAAGCAAGCAGAGAATTACCATACAGGAACTAAATTAGGAAATAAATAGATTGAGGAAATGAGGACGTTCAGGAGAAATTCTAAAATAAATGTTGATGAGAGAAACCGATGGTGTCGGATTGGATTCCATCCATGATATCTAAAAGACGGCACAGGATACAACGGAGCAGACGGCAAACCTGAGGATGAATAATGCAGACGTTTATGGTATGATTGCCTCTTCACCGTGTTCTTTTTATTTGTGTTCACTGGCTGTAAATGCTGGTGAAAATGTCTGGTTGTTCGTCCACTTCTGGACTTTGGTCTTGTTCCAGAATCTTGCTTGTACATGTAGTTTTACAGATTGGGCTTATTTGTATGCAGACTGTTGGTTCCTCATCTCTGAGGCAGATGCACTCGGACTTCAAAGCAAAGGAAACACCCTTAATTAGTCGGGGAGGAAGGGGGGGGGGGTGGTGTGTGTATGTATGTCATTTTTAACTAATATTCACCACATTACGTATTTGTACTGATTGTTCTACAAACCATTTTAGCTAATATTCACCACATCACATATTTGTACTGATTGTTCTACAAAACATTTTTAGCTAATATTCACCACATCACATATTTGTACTGATTGTTCTACAAACCATTTTTAGCTAATATTCACCACATCACGTATTTGTACTGTTTGTTCTACAAACCATTTTTAGCTAATATTCACCACATCACATATTTGTACTGATTGTTCTACAAACCATTTTTAGCTAATATTCACCACATCACATATTTGTACTGATTGTTCTACAAACCATTTTTAGCTAATATTCACCACATCACATATTTGTACTAATTGTTCTACAAACCATTTTTAGCTAATATTCACCATATCACATATTTGTACTGATTGTTCTACAAACCATTTTTAGCTAATATTCACCACATCACATATTTTACTGATTGTTCTACCATTTTTAACTATATTCACCACATACGTTTTGTACTGATTGTTCTACAAACCATTTTAGCTAATATTCACCACATCACATATTTGTACTGATTGTTCTACAAAACATTTTTAGCTAATATTCACCACATCACATATTTGTACTGATTGTTCTACAAACCATTTTTAGCTAATATTCACCACATCACGTATTTGTACTGTTTGTTCTACAAACCATTTTTAGCTAATATTCACCACATCACATATTTGTACTGATTGTTCTACAAACCATTTTTAGCTAATATTCACCACATCACATATTTGTACTGATTGTTCTACAAACCATTTTTAGCTAATATTCACCACATCACATATTTGTACTAATTGTTCTACAAACCATTTTTAGCTAATATTCACCACATCACATATTTGTACTGATTGTTCTACAAACCATTTTTAGCTAATATTCACCACATCACATATTTGTACTGATTGTTCTACAAACCATTTTTAACTAATATTCACCACATTACGTATTTGTACTGATTGTTCTACAAACCATTTTTAGCTAATATTCACCACATCACATATTTGTACTGATTGTTCTACAAACCATTTTTAGCTAATATTCACCACATCATGTATTTGTACTGTTTGTTCTACAAACCATTTTTAGCTAATATTCACCACATCACATATTTGTACTGATTGTTCTACAAACCATTTTTAACTAATATTCACCACATTACGTATTTGTACTGATTGTTCTACAAACCATTTTAGCTAATATTCACCACATCACATATTTGTACTGATTGTTCTACAAACCATTTTTAGCTAATATTCACCACATCATGTATTTGTACTGTTTGTTCTACAAACCATTTTTAGCTAATATTCACCACATCACATATTTGTACTAATTGTTCTACAAACCATTTTTAGCTAATATTCACCACATCACGTATTTGTACTGTTTGTTCTACAAACCATTTTTAGCTAATATTCACCACATCACATATTTGTACTGATTGTTCTACAAACCATTTTTAGCTAATATTCACCACATCACATATTTGTACTAATTGTTCTACAAACCATTTTTAGCTAATATTCACCACATCACATATTTGTACTGATTGTTCTACAAACCATTTTTAGCTAATATTCACCACATCACATATTTGTACTGATTGTTCTACAAACCATTTTTAGCTAATATTCACCACATCATGTATTTGTACTGTTTGTTCTACAAACCATTTTTAGCTAATATTCACCACATCACATATTTGTACTAATTGTTCTACAAACCATTTTTAGCTAATATTCACCACATCACATATTTGTACTAATTGTTCTACAAACCATTTTTAGCTAATATTCACCACATCACGTATTTGTACTGATTGTTCTACAAACCATTTTTAGCTAATATTCACCACATCACGTATTTGTACTGATTGTTCTACAAACCATTTTTAGCTAATATTCACCACATCACATATTTGTACTAATTGTTCTACAAACCATTTTTAGCTAATATTCACCACATCACGTATTTGTACTGTTTGTTCTACAAACCATTTTTAGCTAATATTCACCACATCACATATTTGTACTGATTGTTCTACAAACCATTTTTAGCTAATATTCACCACATCACGTATTTGTACTGATTGTTCTACAAACCATTTTTAGCTAATATTCACCACATCACATATTTGTACTGATTGTTCTACAAACCATTTTTAGCTAAAATACACCACATCACATATTTGTACTGTTTGTTCTACAAACCATTTTTAGCTAAAATACACCACATCACATATTTGTACTGTTTGTTCTACAAACCATTTTTAGCTAATATTCACCACATCACATATTTGTACTGATTGTTCTACAAACCATTTTTAGCTAAAATACACCACATCACATATTTGTACTGATTGTTCTACAAACCATTTTTAGCTAAAATACACCACATCACATATTTGTACTGATTGTTCTACAAACCATTTTTAGCTAATATTCACCACATCACGTATTTGTACTAATTGTTCTACAAACCATTTTTAGCTAATATTCACATCACATATTTGTACTAATTGTTCTACAAACCATTTTTAGCTAATATTCACCACATCACGTATTTGTACTGTTTGTTCTACAAACCATTTTTAGCTAATATTCACCACATCACATATTTGTACTGATTGTTCTACAAACCATTTTTAGCTAATATTCACCACATCACGTATTTGTACTGATTGTTCTACAAACCATTTTTAGCTAATATTCACCACATCACATATTTGTACTGATTGTTCTACAAACCATTTTTAGCTAAAATACACCACATCACATATTTGTACTGTTTGTTCTACAAACCATTTTTAGCTAAAATACACCACATCACATATTTGTACTGATTGTTCTACAAACCATTTTTAGCTAAAATACACCACATCACATATTTGTACTGATTGTTCTACAAACCATTTTTAGCTAAAATACACCACATCACATATTTGTACTGATTGTTCTACAAACCATTTTTAGCTAAAATACACCACATCACATATTTGTACTAATTGTTCTACAAAACATTTTTAGCTAAAATTCACCACATCACATATTTGTACTAATTGTTCTACAAACCATTTTTAGCTAATATTCACCACATCACGTATTTGTACTAATTGTTCTACAAACCATTTTTAGCTAATATTCACCACATCACATATTTGTACTAATTGTTCTACAAACCATTTTTAGCTAATATTCACCACATCACGTATTTGTACTGTTTGTTCTACAAACCATTTTTAGCTAATATTCACCACATCACATATTTGTACTGATTGTTCTACAAACCATTTTTAGCTAATATTCACCACATCACGTATTTGTACTGATTGTTCTACAAACCATTTTTAGCTAATATTCACCACATCACATATTTGTACTGATTGTTCTACAAACCATTTTTAGCTAAAATACACCACATCACATATTTGTACTGTTTGTTCTACAAACCATTTTTAGCTAAAATACACCACATCACATATTTGTACTGATTGTTCTACAAACCATTTTTAGCTAAAATACACCACATCACATATTTGTACTGATTGTTCTACAAACCATTTTTAGCTAAAATACACCACATCACATATTTGTACTGATTGTTCTACAAACCATTTTTAGCTAAAATACACCACATCACATATTTGTACTAATTGTTCTACAAAACATTTTTAGCTAAAATTCACCACATCGCGTATGTGTACGGATTGTTCTGACAAGCCATTTTTTTAAGCTATTCACGACATCACACATAGGTACTGAATGTTCTACAAGTATAGTGTTGGCACATAATGCCTGATATGAAAATCGTATGTTTACTAACACAATCGCTGAAGTTGAGAGAGAGGGATTGGGAGGGGGGGGGGGGGCCTTGTGTGTGAGAGGGAGAAAGAGATTTGTAGCTAATATTCACAACATAACCCATATGTGCTGATTGTTCTACAAGCATATGCTTGACACTATTCCTCATGGAATAAAGATGGTACCTTTACTTGTCAACGTTGAAAGCAAGAGGCCGCCAAAGGGGAAGATGGATTGATGATATTAAAGAGCTTCTAATGATATGGAATGACAGTATCTATTGTTTCCCACCAAGCAGTGGATCGCAAACTGTTCCTCCCCACAATGCTTAATGGCAGTAGTGGGAATTGATAATGATGACTTGGTAGCATAATCAGCTGGTGGGGGAGTGGCGAGTTTCATTTTTAGTTAATATCCACAGTGGAGAAGATAGTCTGACTTATCTTGTTGACACTGTGTTATTCAAAAGAAGTCTGGACAAGTTTAAAATTATAAAATGTGTATTCTGTAGGGCGGTGATATAGAAGAGTCCTATGAGGAGCTGTTCATCAAACAGATGAATGAGATTGGCAAGGCCACACAGCAGTAAGTACATGACTTTGTACTTCTGGTTACTTGTTATCTGTATCGACATCCTAGCTCATACGTCTGACTCATTTGTGCTCCATCCTCTGATGCAGCAGCCATCTCAGTGTCTTTATCCTCACTGTATCCAGTAGTTGTTGATTGGTATATCTTCTTAGTTTGTCCTGTAACTGGTATTTGCGTGTTTATCCTATTTTCTAACAGATGGTTCATCATCCCTTGACTCGTCTGTCTTAAGGTCTGTTGAGTGCATCACATTCAACATGTCTGCCCTGTCCATACTTCTTCCTCCACTGACTACTGCAGACACAGCCAGTCTGTCGTCTCTTTTATTTCCTTTCACCCCAGTGTATCCTACACCAAGAGGCAGGTTTTTGGACGCTGTCAACCCATTCTAGTCAGAGTTTGCCAGTCTGAATCTTTTTAGGCTTACTCATTGAGTCATGACATGATCGGTTAAATTATAAAATGTGATGATGAATAAATTATCATCACATTATACATCTGTGTACAACCATTACATTTTCCAGTGTTTTTATTTTCAATTTATTGACTGTATAAAGAAAGACAACAGACTGCCCACATCAAAACAAGATAGCTGAAACTTTTTTTGGGGTCACATGATGATAGGGTCTTCACAGATTTTTAACAGCCAGAAAAATTGATCTATCTTGACTGCTGTGACAACTAAAAAAAATTGATCACATTTGTGACACCCAGAAAAATAGATCAGTCTTGATGATTTTGTGACAACTAGAAGAATCTATCGCTCTTGGCAATTTAGTGACAACTGGAGGAAATTGTCAGTGTTGACAGTGTTGTGACAACTAGAAGAATCTATAAATCTTGACAGTGTTGTGACAACTAGAGGAAATTGTCAGTGTTGACAGTGTTGTGACAACTAGAAGAATCTATAAATCTTGACAGTGTTGTGACAACTAGAGGAAATTGTCAGTGTTGACAGTGTTGTGACAACTAGAGGAAATTGTTAGTGTTGACAGTGTTGTGACAACTAGAGGAAATTGTTAGTGTTGACAGTGTTGTGACAACTAGAGGAAATTGTCAGTGTTGACAGTGTTGTGACAACTAGAGGAAATTGTCAGTGTTGACAGTGTTGTGACAACTAGAGGAAATTGTCAGTGTTGACAGTGTTGTGACAACTAGAGGAAATTGTCAGTGTTGACATTGTTGTGACAACTAGAGGAAATTGTCAGTGTTGACTGTGTTGTGACAACTAGAGGAAATTGTCAGTGTTGACAGTTTTGTGACAACTAGAGGAAATTGTCAGTGTTGACAGTGTTGTGACAACTAGAGGAAATTGTCAGTGTTGACAGTGTTGTGACAACTAGAAGAATCTTTCAGTCTTGACAGTGTTGTGACAACTAGAGGAAATTGTCAGTGTTGACAGTGTTGTGACAACTAGAGGAAATTGTCAGTGTTGACAGTGTTGTGACAACTAGAGGAAATTGTCAGTGTTGACAGTGTTGTGACAACTAGAAGAATCTTTCAGTCTTGACAGTGTTGTGACAACTAGAGGAAATTGTCAGTGTTGACAGTGTTGTGACAACTAGAGGAAATTGTCAGTGTTGACAGTGTTGTGACAACTGATTTATGTACACTATATAAAATGGCCTAGCATTGCTCGCCACCAAGTATCCCTGAACAGGATTCTTGCAGCGTTGATGCGATTAAAGAAGACAGACCCAAATACTATCCTGTCCGGCGACGAAGCTGTAAACCGGCCAGCCAGGAGGTGACTCGGTCGCCGATTAAAAGAGAGAGCACACTTTTATAAGTTTATTTAACACTGTCTACATTTGTTATCATTTTTCAACTTCAATAAAAATTGTTACCCAAAGCCTGACATTAATTCTCTTTTTTTTTCCTTGTTTGTTTAGCCTGGGCTGTAAAGTGGTCATCGTATCATCCAGCAGAGATGCACACGTCTGCCACAGCGTGTACCCACAGCCACCTTTCCACATACCCAGTCATAACTCAGATGGTTCAGAGGTTAGTAATGTAAACATTTTATAGATTGCTTTGTACATTGTTTAATTGTTTTAAAATTAACTCTTTTACAATACACATGATTCTGTATTACCGTGAATCATGTACGCTGAATGAAAATAGTGAGTTTATGGGTAGAATGTTAAGAATAAGACAATCCATGGATGTCTGAAGACAGACTCTCTCTCTTCCCCTCTTCTCTCTTATCTGCCTTTAACCTTAAAGCAGCAAAATGTTCCATTTGTAAAGTTAAAAAAAAAAAAAAGAGAGAATTTATTCACTACCCCTTAACAAGCATGTCGTACAAGACGACTAATTATGGATGTTTCCTTTGAAGTAGGAGTGCATCTGCCTGAGAGGCGAGGAACCAACAGTCTGCATACAAATAGGCTAGATCTGTAAATTTGATTTCACATGAAACTCAAATTCTGGAGCTTGACTAAAGTCCAGAAGTGGATGAACAACCTGCACTTTTGGCCAGAGTTTACAGCTGAGGAAGGCTAAGAAGAATTGTGCGTGTTAAGAAGGATTGTGCGTGTTAAGAAGGATTGTGCGTGTTGAGAAGAATTGTGCATGTTAAAAAGAATTGTGCGTGTTAAGAAGGATTGTGCGTGTTGAGAAGAATTGTGCATGTTAAAAAGAATTGTGCTTGTTAAGAAGAATTGTGCATGTTAAGAAGAATTGTGCTTGTTAAGAAGGATTGTGTGTGTTAAGAAGGATTGTGCATGTTAAGAAGAATTGTGCGTGTTAAGAAGAATTGTGCATGTTAAGAAGAATTGTGCGTGTTAAGAAGGATTGTGTGTGTTAAGAAGGATTGTGCATGTTAAGAAGGATTGTGTGTGTTAAGAAGGATTGTGCATGTTAAGAAGAATTGTGCGTGTTAAGAAGAATTGTGCATGTTAAGAAGAATTGTGCATGTTAACTGAACAGTGCAGACAGAAAACAAACTAATAACTTTCAGAGCATGAGGGAAGCAGCTTTATCTACTCACTTGCCGTTACATCGTTTATTTTCCATAAATTAGTTCAGATATCTCATTTATGTTTTTTTTTTTGGGTTTAAACTTCAGTTAGCGATTTTTTTCAATTTTCACCACAGAAACTAACTGCTGAAAAAGAGTTGACTAAACATCTAATGTTTGTGTCTGATCCATCCACACTACGGATTAATGGATTAGTGATTGGCCTGTCATCGACGGATATACTTATGCACCTCAGCAGATCTGAAATTTCAGCGTAAGTTGTTGCCTGTTTGTTGTTGTTGTTGTTGCATGGAGGGAAGCCTGTTTTTGTTGTTATTTGTTTGTTTGTTTAGTTTTGTCCCCTCCAGGATTTTAGTCTGTAGGATTAACATCTCAAGGATGAGAATCAAACCGGTACAAATACGGGAAACCTCACTCAGCCATACAGCCACACAGCACATATTAGGGGCACCACAAGACCGCCATGAAGTAACCTTTAGTCCAGCATGGGTGAGTTCTAATAGTTCATTTATCAGAACTGGTTTTTTTTAAGATTAATCATCTGATTTAATAATGTTTCATTAAGAATCGACGTCATAGCAATGGGTACATTCCTATAAACACTCTGTCCCCATCTTCAGCAGCGAGCGCAGAGTTCCAGTTCAAGTGGTACCAGTAGCGGTCTGATTGTATATCTGTCTCGCCTTCCTCTTGAGTGCTCTAATTGTATTTTGTGCTTGATTTACTATGAATATGTGTAACTACTTTAAGTTTCCTCCACAGCCAAGTGCAGAAGAGGACACACTAGATGTGGCTAGAGAATTTCAGAGAACACCTTTTCTTTAATATAATGTGGTAGTAGCATTGTTGGTTTAGCAGTAACACCTTGTTTGTTTAGCAGTACCAGCATTGTTTGCTTAGAAGTAACAGTTTGTTTGCATAGAAGTAACAGCCTGTTTTTATAACTAGCAGCTTTGTTTGTTTGGCAGTCACATGTTTGTTTGTAAAGTAGTAACAGGTTTGTTTGTATAGTAGTGACAGCTCTGTTTGTGTAACAGCTTTGTTTTATAACAGTAATGGACTTGTTGTGTAGCAAGAATAGCTTTGTTTTATAGCAGGACCAGTTGTGTTTGTATAGCCATAACAGCTTTGTTTGTATATCAATAACAGCATTGTATAGCATTAACAGCTAGAGAAACGAGATTATTATGGCCTGGAGAGAATGAGGCATCTGGGTGTAACCAAAGGGTCTGGCCAGCTCACTACACTCAGAGGAAAGGCACACATAACCAGATTGTGACCGGTACCATCAGTATAGGGACTCTGCCCTTGCTGCTGAAGACAATGACGAAGAATGCATGAGAATGCAAATTTTTTTTTGCACAGAAGTAACAGCCAGTTTTTATAACTAGCAGCTATGTTTGTGTAGCACTTACAGATTTTGTTGTATTGTAATAACAACTTTGTTTTCTAACAGCACATTTTAATGTGATCTTTGCTGGCAACCTATTGGCAGTAAAGTTAAAATATAAACTGCCAACTGCTTTCGAAGCTATTGATATATGTTATCAAAGTATGTAGGTTTCAAGAAATTATGCAGTTTATAGGCTATTTTGTTTAATGTTCTGATAGTGTCAAATTTATTACAATTCAGAAAGAAAAAAAAAAGGAAGATTTGGGTACAAATATTTGATACTCAGCCATTGATATCTTGTTCTTGCAGAGGTCTTCAAGGTGGGTTGGATCGTATGGGACGCCTGGCACAGCATGTTATCCACCAGCACAGGTAACTTGTCTTTGACACATTCCTTGTAACTTTTTTTTGTCTTTTGGAGTTTCTTGATCAAGGCAGGGTGGCAGCTTGCATGCTTCATTCCATTTGATCATCTGTTCAGTTTCTGCTGTAATCAATGGAGAAAGAACGAACGGATGGACAAATTCTGCCCTTCTAGTCTCCCTTCTTTAATACATCATTTCATTCATACATTAGTTAGTAATAAATATTTTAAATAGCGTCAAAATATTCAATCCAAGCACTTGGATGTGCACTTTCTTACTACAGTACACCTTAGTAGTAATACATTTTGGAAAAATGTGCGCTATTTCTATAATATTTTTATTTTCTATGGGGGAAGAAGTATTGACAGAGCATACTTATTTGTATGTAGATTATTGGTTCCTCAACTCCAAGGCAGATACTTTCTGACTTTGAAAGATACATCCCTAATTAGTTGACTTTTTATGACATGCTTGTTATGGGGCAGTGGGTCTATCCACCCCCCCCCCCCCCCCCCTTCCTTTTTCTCCCCAATATGGGACCCGGAACCTACACACAGTTTTAGGATCTTCTTCTTTACATTCGCTGGCTGTAAACTCCGGTGAAAAGTTCTGGTTGTTCGTCTACCTCCAGACTTTTAGTCGTATTCCAGAACCTGAGTGTTGCGTGCACATGTATTTTACAGACCTGGCTTATTTATATGCAGACTGTTGTCCAGAGTGAAGGAATGAGACTCGTCTTGGGTTGCACACAAGATACACCAATTAGAACAATAGTGTATGCTTGGGCTGACATCAGTACAGTCGAGACTGTCACTGGTGCAAGCCAAGGCCTGTATATACAAAACAAAACGATCCCTTTATACGCCTTTAGGCGCATCTGGTTTATGGGAAGAGCACCCATATTTTTACAGACCAATCGGCACTCGGTGGGTAATGTGGTCAGCATTACGTCGGCCGTCTTTACTTTCCCAGGACAGCCCATCCTGGTACCCATTTGAGGCTGGGTCGACCTGCGACGTCCCATACCATGATAAAAATCCACGCAGCACACTCAGGTTTTGATCGCGGTACGTTGGATTACGAGTCAGACTCGCAACGCCTTAGCCATGGACGCCGCAAGGCCTGTATATGAGTTAAGTAAAAAGTAAGTAAAGATCCCTTTTTACACCTTAGGTGCATCGGGCATATGAAAAGAGCGTCCCATATTTTTACAGACCAATCGGCACTGTGTGGGTAATGTGGTCAGCATTGCGCCTGCCGTCTTTACTTCCCCAGGAGCGCCATCCTGATACCCATTTTATGCTGGGTTGACCTGCGATGCCCCATACCATGATACAAATCCACGCAGCCAGCAGTGGGTTTCGATCGCGCTACGTTGGAATTACGAGTCGAACTCGCAACGCCTGAGCCACTGTAAATGAGTTACTAATGATTAAAAACATCCGCTGTATGGCAATCTAAAAGATTTAAGAGGAGGCCGGTCGAAAAGAATAAACACATGGAGGGCACTAGCTGAAGATACCGTTGAGACGGCACCCCCAGTCGAGCAAATACACAGGGGGCAGAAATGGGTCAACACAAACACCTACAACATCAGCTTCCAGCAGGTCAGGTTAGGAAAAGAATGTAGAGAGTGGTGTAACGGTAAGGCAGTATTAGAGGTTCAACAACTGATAGATGGAAAGACCTGGCTAGATTACAACTAATCATGAGGATGGAAGTGGAAGCAATCACTGCAGCTCTGATTTGGATAGCAGAAAACAGTTACCAGAGGAATTATTGTGTCTGATTCTCAGTCAGCACTGTATAAGGTTCAGAAGGGACTAATGTGGCGTGAGTGGATACCTAGCATCAGCACACCAACATTGCAGGGAATCATGTGGATATACTGTCAGGGATATGCAGGAGTGCCAGGGAATGAAAGAGCAGATTTTCTTCCTACAAAAGTGAAAGCTACAGGAACACTCGTGCTGGCAAGGGAGATATTCTGAAGACTGTATGAACAACTTTTGACAGAAGATTATATGAAATAACATGTGCAAGAATGTGTGAACACGGAATTAAGGGTGATCCGGCAAGGACGGATGGGTGAGGGGAAGAGAATGACGAGTGTATCATCAGTGTGCTATGGAAACAGTTAACATCTACACCTTATGTCATTTGCTGAGGGAGACGGAGTATATGTGGGTATGCCTGATGTGTTATGATGTTGATTCTTAAATCAGTAATCTGTTGGTCTGTTGCCTCTCAGGCAGATGTATTC